TAATCGGATCGTTATAGTAGACTGAATTTCGTATCTAATAAGTGGAAAAGAAACTGCATTTGCTGTTGTTGGTTATGACGAAGTTTCTGACGGTTTAAAGAAAATAAACGTTTCTAAAACACTGCTGTCACTTTTGTTCTCCGCGTTATCTCTGCATATGTATATATAGATGGCTTATTGTTTAACCAGATCATTCATCTAATTTATTGTGAATTGTTGAGTTTGCCATTTATATCAAAATAGTTATTTACAATAATAATTCATTTTATCTTTTGATTAGGCTGAAGTCAAGTATTTATTTGACTTGATAGTTTTATTTTAAATTTATTTACAAACGAAATTAGTTATTATAAAATGGATTTATAACTGTTATTTAAAAGGTGCGATAATTTACTTAATTTTAAATCTAACTTTCATCTTTCATTTCTAAATATTGTTTTATTTTTATTTTATATTTTTTTTATGTAAAAATATTGGAGTTAAAAGATACTACATGAATAATGAATACAAGTTTGACCAGAAAAATAACTTTTGTAAATGATAACATTAAATGAAATTCAAAATAAATAGTATTTGTTAAAATATTAAGCTCAAGACTGACTCGAGCGGTTCTCATAGCGTTACGAACAAACAGATTTTTAGCCCTACTAGGAAAAATTAACATTTATTTTAATTTTCAGATGTTTTTTAAGTGTCATAATTTTTTCAAAAATTTCGGCATCTATATATACCTTTAATTAAATCGGTAGGGGGTCGGATATCGCAATTAAAAACGGAAAATTTTTAAAATATTTAAAAATATTCGTTCAACTAGTATTCACCCTACTTTAATCCCTTCTCCTCTTGAAACTTTTATGAGAATGTACCGCGAAAGACTATACCAGCTGTTCTCAAGGTCATTTAGCTGTAAACACAATTACTCATCAGCGTCAAATTTCGCTGAAATACGTGACAATGGAAAATAGACTTCAAAGCTTTCTGTTCGAAATTAAGGCATATCTTTTGTTTTTTTTTCAGTATTAAGTATTTCTTATGTTCAATTAAAGATTTTAAAATAAGAAGTAGAAACAAAGAGGTTAAAAGTGGTGATGATAATATGAAACTATAGTTGAAAACTTTAAACGAATTTTCAATAAATTAAATTTAATGTTGAGTAAATTATATTTGTATAAATTTTTTTATATATAAA